CTGCTGCTGCCTGAGCTCTGGGGAGGAGACCCACCCCCTGACCCCCACCCCTGGGAGAGCAGAGGGGGTGGGACCCTGCCCTGCCCAGCCTGCCCCATGTTCGGGTGCCCAGGGCTGCTCCCACATCTCCAGGGTGGGTGGGATGACGTTTGCTCCCACTGCCAGCTCTGGTCTCCTGGCAGGGCTGGTTTGGGGTGTTGTGCAGGGCTGGGGGGGTCTCCTGGAGTGTTCCCCTCTGGGAGCTGCAGCAGCACTGGGGTTGGACCTGCTGGAGGGGGCCAGAGGAGCCCCAGCAATGCCCCGAGGGGGGAACCCCTCTGCTGGGAGCCCAGCAGGAGCGAGTTGGGCTGGGGCAGCCCCAGAGGAGAAGGCTCCAGCTGGGGAGACCTGCTGGGGGCTGCCAGGGCTTCCAGGGGGCCGAGAAAAAAGATGGGGATGGACTTTTGAGCAGGGGCTGTTGTGGTAGGACAAGGGGTGATGGTTTGAAACTAAAAGAGAGTGATTGAGACTGGAGAGAAGGGAGAAATTTTTGATGCTGAGGGTGTTGAGCCCCTGTCCCAGGCTGCCCAGAGAGGTGGTCGCTGAGTTGGAAGGAGCCTGGAGCAACATGGTCTAGTGGGAAGTGTCCCACTAGACACCTAATCTTGGACTAGATGACCCTTAAGGTCCCTTCCAACCCCAACCACTCTAGGGTTCTATGCATCTGTAGGCTCTGCCACGCTCTGAGCTGCTGGTAGATGTCTTGGGCCTGGCCTTGGGGTGGCTGGTGACCCTCCAGGCACCTGGGTCCTGTGGTGACGTGTCCTGCTGGGTGCCAGGCAGAGGAGACCCCTCTGGAAAGGCCCGTGGTGCCTCCTGCCACCGTGGAGACAGAGGTCACATCTAGCCTGGGCAGTGCCTGAGCTGTGAGTAGCTGGTGTGTGGGGATAGATGCTGCAGCACTTGGCTTCACTCTCTGGAGCTGCCTGGGTCATGTTGGGAACGTCACTGCTGCTTCTGAAAGACTTGTGGCTCCTTCAAGCCTGTCCAGTCCCCCCTGCCCAGCCCCTTGGCCCTTGAATGACTTCCTCCTGCCTAGTCCAGTAGCTCTAATTCATCCTTTGCCTCTTGTCTGGCCTCCCTTGCAGATCCTTATGCCATTGTCTCCTTCCTCCACCAAAGCCAGAAGACGGTGGTGATCAAGAACACCCTGAACCCCACCTGGGACCAGACACTCATCTTCTATGAGATAGAGATCTTTGGGGACCCCCAGAACGTGTCTGACTGCCCTCCCAACGTCGTGGTGGAGATCTATGACCACGACACCTACGTAAGGCTGAGCTGGACCCTCCTGGTGTGCATGGGGGGGTGGGACAGACACAGGGCACGGTTCTGGGGTGCTGTGACAGCTCAGGGGGCTCAGCCTGTGAGTTGGACACTCAGAAGACAGGAATTCAGCAAACAGCTCTGCTGGTGAGGTCCTTGGTGGGCCTGGTCCTCCTCAGCACCTAGGTGGGGTTTGCAGCATGCCAAACGACCCCATTCCCTGCTGCAGAAAGCTTGGGGGAGGTTTTGAAGCAGCCCTAAAGGGGGGGCCCAAACAGTGCCCTGCTCAGCTGCCCAGAGGTGCCCCAAGTGCCTTGTGGTGGGGGCTGTGAGACAACCCTGAGCCTTGCTGAGGAACACTGGGCTGTAGCCTGTCAGAAGAGCAGGAGGGGTTCCAGAGCAGTGTGTGGGTGCAAGTGTGTGGGAGACAGCTCAGGAACCTCTCAGGAACCCATCTTGCCTTTCCTCCTCCAAAAGAAGCCATCAGGGAGCAGTGAAGGCAGCTGAAGGTCCCCGTGTGGACCAGTGGATGGGCTTTAAGAGCTCCTGCTCTGGAAACAGTGTGGTACTGTTGGGATTCCACCTCCTGTTCAGGGCAACTGCAGAAGGAGGTGACAAGTTCCAGTAGTCACAGGGCTAAGGTGGAAAACTGGAGAACTTATGGGCATGGAAACAGTCTGTGGATGGCAGCACTGGGGAGGCCAAACCTCCAATCCTGGGGGCAGGTTTGGGCCCCTCCCTCCCAGCAGGACCTGGAGGGGCTGGAGCGTGGGCAGAGAAGGGCAACGGAGCTGCTGGGGAAGGGTCTAGAGCCCAAGTGTGGGGAGGAGCAGCTGAGGGAGCTGGGGGTGCTGAGCCTGGAGCAAAGGAGGCTCAGGGGAGACCTTCTGGCTCTGCACAGCTCCTGACAGGAGCCTGGAGCCAGGGGGGGGTCGGGCT